ATTATTTGTCATGTTAATGTAATGATTTAAATGTTTGTGTTATCAGATATTTTATATTTAAAGGATTATTCAAATTATTATTTATATGCATTTATTATTTGTTTAATTTTTATTAATTTATGAATGTATTACGTATACCTGTATTTTAGATGCTACAATATAGTGCAAAGAAAAAATAATATTCCACAAAAAAAAAAAAAAGAATAAGAAAACAAAATAAAGTGCAGGCACTGAAATCAATTAATCTTTTGTAATTTATTTGATAACTTTTTTATTTGCTTTGTTTTGTAATTTCTCATCTCCCAATATCTGATGAATAAGTGCAGCTTTGATCACTATAAAAGTTACACAATTCTGAAAATTACAACATTAATTACACCAAGAAATGACTTCTCACCTTTGAACAAAAGAGGCATAATCTATAATTACCTTAATTTATATAGAAACTAGTCGTTATTAGACCAGTAAAACTGGATTGCAGTGGTGATGAATAAACAGGGTTTAGTGGCGAAATGCTTTGTGTAAAACTGACTCAACGGTTTAGTGAATTCTCCCTCTGTGCTCTGCCAGGTTCACTGGAGCTCCTTCCAGACACATTGTCCACGGTGTACGTCCAGGGAAGCTTGCTGCAGTTACGCATCTCTTCACAGCATTATAAATGTATGTGTTACAGCCCTTAATGGCTGCTAATCCAATTTCTGCCACTGAAATCAAATCTTGCTGGCGCCAGTGGTCCTCTCCTTTACTCACAAATAATGTCTTTGCGTTTGGTGTCTTCATGAAAATGATGGACCACCAAAACTGCCGCTTTATCATCTCTTACTTCCACAAGAGTCCTCGTACCCTGTTTTCCATTTTGCGTCTTTCCTCCTCATTCTCTCTTTATCTCCTGCCGTTTTGGTAGGAGAAGTGGATGAGATTAAGGAGCAGCAGAGAAGCCAATTATTAATTGTTGATCCCTTGAAAGATGAGAAGGTCCTGAACAGAAGAAGAGCCTTCGCAGAGAGGCCCATTTACCGCTCACTCGTAATGCTTTCCTGAGGTCAGGCATCGATTTCCTTAAACCACATGCTGTGCTGATAAGATTAGACCTTTTGATTCCTGAACTACTTGAGTCATGCAGATGAACTCACTTTGGGTTGGATTTTAAGGCTGAACGGACGTCTTTTCATTTGGTCACTGATAGCGGGGTCACTGCCAGGCCTACATGGAATATGTGACTTTTTATGCATTTTGTCACTGTTTTGGTTAGAAAAACTTTGAAACACTTTTTAATTGTAAGGGAGAAGCCTTTTACAATGACGTAAAGCATAATAGTCATGTTTTTTTAATGTTTCAAAGGATCCACATCACTGTATGTTGTTCTTTTCAGCACATAATATTATTCATTTGTACATGCATGCACAAATCAATATTACACAGTATTTATTTATTTGCATTTAAAATAGTATAGAATGTCACATTATATTAATTAAATTGATTTATCTTTTTGAATATTGATATTTATCTATTTAATTATTCATTTACATACATTTGCATATGCATTTTTTTTCCAAAGTTACTAACTTTGCATTCAAGGTATATATTTGATCAATTCATGCATTACCTGGGAATCAAACCCATGTTGGTAGCTCTAAACTACAGGACTGCTATCTTCATAAGCATGTGATTAGAGTTTTTTTCATCTTGATAAAACCGTAAAATTCTAACATTTATATGATAACACTGATGTGTTATTTTGATGGCATGAGAGCATAAACGTGGTGCAGTCAGAGCCAGGTAGAAGATTGAAAGGAAAGAGTAATTTGTCAAATCATGTGCTGAAGGAATTTGTGGTTAGGAGTGGAACTTCCACACAGCGGTTTACTGTGGGCTTCATTTCACATTGCCAGGTGTTTCAGCAGATCGTATCCATGCGTGTGGCAGGAGAAGTCAGGAGAAGAAAGAAAGTTATGAGGAAATCATGCGGACATAGAGTACAGAATGTGTTTTAACTTACACCTGTGTTCTCTTTTCTTTGCTTTCCTTTCTTGATACTCATTCACTCTGAGGAAAACGCTCTCTTTTGTTTGTTGCCAAGGAGTGGTAATCAATTGTTCCTGCAGATATCGGAACATTAGAGCGCGCGCACAAGCACACTGTTTCTGATTAGCACTAACTTGTTTATTTGTTTGATGCTGAAATTCATGTAAAACTGAGTGTCTTTTGGCAGATGCTTGTTTTATCTACAAAAGGAAAGCAATCAGTGTCAGAAAGATTTCTCTTTTTAATTCCACAAAAAAAAAGAAAGAGAGAATGAAAGAAAAATAAACCAATGTTTATATATAAAAACCATTCTGACATATGGTTGCTTTCAGCTTTCCCAATCAGAGATGCTAAAAACACATCATTTTTTCCCCCTCACGTTTCTCTGCCGTAATTCTTACTGTAAGGTTGTGGCAAAAGGCAGCGTTGTCTTGACCTCACTCCTTGCTTATTGGAGTTGGCAATTAATTATAAATATTAGATCAAAACTGCAAAACAAGGCCCTAATTCAAACAATCTTATGCCTGACATCAATTCAGGTTGAGACATATTAAATAGTTGCAGACATCTTGAGATGATTTTCCATTTCAGGCATTGTTTTGACCTGCTCAGACATAAGGCTTTCAGTTAGTTTTGGTTGCCCTCTAGCTGTCAGTTATGATATGCTATCAAATTTCCATCAGCATTTGATCAGAATTCACAAATGAGTGATGACTTGAGCGTGTAAACGAAAACTTTTACTTGACACTGTTCAGACAGATTTCTGTAATGAAATAAATGATATTTCTAGGTTTGAAGGTGAAATTTGGAATGTTTTTTTTTTGGAAAAAGCTAAACAACCATAGTTTACTGTATTTTGAACCATGGTAAATATAGTACTGTCTTGAACTATGGTATATCATACTCTCTAGATTACATTGTCGTACTACTCTAAATTACACTTACAAACTATAAAGAGTAACTTGTGACATCCTTTTTCTTTCAAATTAATGTTTGTTGAATAACAATGGTGTCAACGTGAATCCAAAGCATGACATTGATAGTAAGTTCCATTTTTAGATGCACAATAAAATCAAAGACATTCCCGAAGACACTTCCAGGCAACCAAAATCAGGGACTCACGTGCATATGGTAACTTATAATGCCTTTGACAAATATTTTCTAGCAATAGCCATTTAGAAAAACCTGTCCTTTAATGTCCTTTTGACTGATGTCTTTGAAACTATTTGATCCGCAATAGCCTAACGTTTAGTTCTCTCCTAGTTAATCACACTGCTCTCCACTACTATAAACAGAACTTAATGAGACAGGATATTGTTCTAATGGTTGGGAGGAAAGAACACATGTGCTCTGGCCTGCAACACAGGTCTTTTTAATGAAGACCTCTGCTCTTTACTGCCATCAAACTGCGCCCCTAAATTGATCACATTGCAGACTGTTTATAAATCAAACGGTTTTGAATCAAAATGGCCTTTTAAAACGGAAAGAAATTGCCTGTGGTCATTATGCATATTGTGCCTGAGTAAATCTGTTATAACTCACTTGGAGCAATTGGAAGCGACATTTATTGAAGAGGTTCAACAGTTTCGCTGTTGCTGTTTTTTTTTATGTCAGGCGCATGGGGATTCGGTTCAATGAAAATGGAGTAAAATGGACCCGAGGGCTTTACGAGGCGTTTTGAAGGCATAACGAGCCGTCGTGTAAAGACAACATTTTTGCAATGTGCCAAATTGCAAGACCGCAAGAAATCAGTCCCAAAATAGAACGATTGTATTAATTGCAGGAAATTGCTTGTGGAAGATTAAGTGAAATTGTTACTTTTTTGTTTTCTCATGCCACCAAAAGAGAGCAAAAAGAGAGCATTTTCTCAGGGTTGTTTCCACTTAAGAAAACCATTTTTTCTGAACTCACATAGTGGGGCTGGGAATGGCATTCGGGCAGCTGCGAGCGAGCCAAGAGCTGGGACAGCGTTTGAGAGAGAGGCCCACTTGAGATAAAGTCACCACACATTATGCTGCCTTGCCTCGTTTTGTGGTGCTAAATGGCCTGAACAAGTGCAATAATAAGATTGTGAACTATAACTATAGAAAGATTATTTTCTGCAGCCTGTACGTGAACCGTAGCACAGCTAGCGCAAATGTGTGCCAGATCGGGATCCAGATACCACCCGGCATCCAAGTCTGACTCGCTTTTCCCCTGCTGACAAATTTTCTGTGCCTCTCAGTCACACTTTCTCCTTCGAACGTTCACACACTCCCACACACTCAATCATACACACATCGTTATCCTATCTGCCACTGTTGGATTTTAGCAAGCCACCCTTCGTTGTGTGCAATATGCCACACAGCCTTTCCCAGAATGCATTGCCTGCGACACCTGGCTTGCATTAATTCTGGTCTGAGAAGCCTGGCTGAGACGTGAACGAGTGTTGTGCACTTTGCTCCACTGTTTTTTAAGCTGGGGTGTGAGGAGGGGAGAAGGGGTGAGGGAAGGTTCATTTGGTTTGGGCTTCCTTGGGTGGGGGGTTTCCACAAAAATATTAAGCAGCACAACTGTTTTTAGCATTGATAATAATAAGAAATATTTCTTGAGCACCAAATCGGCATATTAGAATGATTACTGAAGGATCATGTGACACTGAAGACTGGAGAAATGGTTCCTGAAAAATAAGCTTTGCCATCACAGGAATAATTGGCATTTTAAATTATATCAAAATAGAAGCATAAGCATAAGAGCATTAGAGACTTTTTCAGGAACATTAAAAAATCTTACTGACCCCAAACTTTTGAACAGTAGTATACATAAAATAGTTTTTAGTTTTACTGTCATTAAATTCAAAAGCCCAGAACAACCAGATGTTTGTTTGAATATCAATCAACTCCCAGTGCAACAGAAGCTTCTGCTTGGTCGTATAGATATATTTATTTAAAGCACATATATAATGTGCTTTTTCTTTTCTGTCTGTTTTGCTATAGGGGGTTCGGGGAAGAGCCACCAGACCAAAGACCAGAAGAAGAAGTCCAACAAGCAGAGGCTGCGCTTCCGGGCTCAGAACCAACACAGTGACCACCTCGCCTCTCTTCGAGCCAGCCAGTAAAATAAATAAATAAATAAATCAAAAACAAAGACTTTTCGATGGAACAAAGACCACAAAGCTGCTAACCCATGCTCCACACACACCTACCCTGATGAAAACACACACGCGCATCCAAACGGGATTATTCACACTCATGTGGTCACACTGTGTCTCTTTGCCTCCTGCTGCTTCCCTCAAAGGTGACACGTCCCCCTGACCCACGACCCTACTGTGATATCATGGAACACTATACCAGCTGTTCATATAGCTCATATCTCGTCCTATTTGAGGAGGAAGAAGAGAGAGACTGAGCTGGAAGCACAGAAAGCTTGGGCCTGGAGACCTGGAGGAGTAGAACGAGCACAGAGTGGTGAAAGGAGCAGAAGGGATTAGAAACGTGATTGACTGATAATGATGCCCTGAAAAACAAGAGAGAGACTTATCCGTATTTATGTACAATTTACACCACCCCATTCCCTAAAAAATCAAGGCAGAGTGTGTCATGTATTGCCTTTCTTGTCCAATAGGTACTTTGTTTTTCATTGCAATGTTGCAAACCATGCACAGTTGCGAAATTATTATTCTCAGCACAAGATGTTTACGTCCAGACCGCTTTATGCTTTAACTGTATATTGTGGGTAAGAATCTTAGTTGTTCAACTAGCATGGCCACAACTCATGTGTACATAGTTGGTGAGTTTATCTAATAACGGTAACATTGATGATAAATATATTTAAAAAATTACTGTATTTTCAGTATTGACACCTTCAGCGTTTAAATGTGTAAAGGGTTATAATACCAGCTACAGTTAAATGAATTTAAAAAGAACAAAAAGCTAAATAAAAAGCATAGCCTCCACATAGCTATTACATTTATATGGTATATAATTGATTTATTTATTGATCTTTTTTTATTATTATTATTTTTTGTTTGGTGAAAATTATGTCTCTGTACCTGATACTCCTCAGTGCTGAAGTATTCTTTCAACCACTTATAACAATACAAAATATCTCCAACAGTGGAAACCGATTGTGTCTGATTTGCCGATAAATGTCCCACAGAAATTCATTGTGTAAACCTGGTTTAACATCTTGTACTAATATGTTGATCACACATCCTGCAGCAGCTGAAGTAGATTGATAATGTGTATATTGTGTGCTATTAAAACGCAGTTCATGTTGCACTTCATGGTGCTGTTGTATATTTTCAGAACTTCGCCAACCTCCCATCAAGTCCCAAAGCTCTATTATGTAACATTTGTCATTTCACAGCACACCAACAGATATGCCTAACTGGCAGCAGAGAATAGGACAAAGAAACGGCCTAATCTTCCAAACTGTCTCCATTTATCATGTATAAAAAGTCAGACGGTAGGCATCCAGATTCTGATGCACCTGTGAACCTAGAAATTATTTCCAGAAGAGAATAAGGATTGCTAAACAAACAAACAAAAAAAAAGAAAGAAAAAAAAGCCCATCATTGAAGTAGGAGTAGGGTTCATAAACCCTCCATGTAGTGAATGTATATGTAAACTTAACTGTTCAAACACCCATCTGCTGTGGGTTACAAGCTAATGAACTGCACACAGATGTCACCTCGGGGGCCACACCATCACCAAACCAAACTGTAAAATCATAGTCAAGAAACAGGCACACTGTAATGATTCGTTAGAGAAGAAGAATTACAGAAGGCCACCAGCAACAGAACATTAGGCTACATGATTTTTACTGTAAAAAAATCTCCTGTGGACTTTTGTACAACATTTGTATAATAGTTAATCCCAACTACCAGCTTGTCACCGTTTACTCACCGTCACGTCGTTTCAAAAATGTAAACGTCGTTACATTTGTAGGCTAGTCATTCTTTTGAATCAAATCTTTTCTATATGAATCAGTTTGCTAACAAAAGCAGTCTGAATGTTTCATTTGCTAATCGAACAGATCCAGTTGTCAAGTTCAACTCACTGATTCAATGAATTTCGTCTCACTGATTCAATCTTGCGTTAACATTTAACTGCCTATGGATATAAATCGACATTTGGGGGAATTTTCCAGTAAACAGCAAATGTACTCTTTCATAAAAACATTATACATAGCGACCTGTACATGGATGATGTCAGATTACACTTGGACAGCAATCGCACACACATGCAGCATAACTCTGTGACTTCCTCATTGAGCTCGCACGTTCATACATGTACACAATGACATCACCTTAAAGGATCTCTTAAAGGACCTCTCATTACATTGTCTACAGCTATGGGCACCCCAACAAATACCCCCAAAACTTTTCAACAATTGCCCACTTGAGAGCAAGGAGCTCGAGTTTCACGCTGCTATACTTATTTTTTTCTGCATCTACTTGCAAAGGCAATAACATGTTTTACATCTCCCTTTTGCTGATATAAAATGGCGCCCAAGCCCTGACTGCTTGCATCTGTCTCCACAATAAAGGGCTTCGTATAGTCAGCCACCCCTAGAACAGGTGCACTAGTCAGCTTATCTTTGAGTGTGTCAAAAGCGGTTTGACATTTTTCAGTCCACACACTCCCCAAAAGGACATTAGTTCTGTTGGAGCTTTCAGTGGTGAGACATGAATTTACAGTGTGACGGGGGCATTGTCTTGCATGAAAATTGCAGATTGATTGGGAAATGATTGCAGGGAAGGAACTGCATGTTGCTGAAGGAGGTTCTGATAAACATTTACAACCACGCTGTCATGTATCTGTATAAGAAACCCAACTCCTGCTGCAGAAAACATCCCCCAAAGTCTGAAACTTCCTCCTCCACCTTTCACTGACTTCTTTATGCACTTGGGTTCAGTCGTTTGATGCTGAACAAAATGTTTCCCATCAGACACAAATAAATTAAACTTGCTCTCATCACTAAAGTGAACTTTGGACCAGTTCTCCTCTCTCCACACAATATGCTCCTCAGCAAAGGTTAGTGTAGCCTTTATATTCTTTCTGCTGATGAGAGGCTTGGTCACTGCAGAGTGCGTTTTCAGTCTGACTTCTCTTAAACGTGACGAGAAAGATCCATACCCTGTTCAGTGCTGAACTGTGAGCATTTTCAGCCACAGTGTTGAGCCGATTCTCCATCGAGAGTCTCTGCATCATCCTGTCTTCTCGTGCATTTGTCTTACGTGGACGACCAGCCTTTTTGAGGAACTTGAATGAATTAGTGTCATTGTAAAGCTGCAATATTTGAGAAATCACAGATTTCAGAACTTCTCTTGCAGTGGCTGAAAAGGTCGCCCCTTTGGCCTTCATCTGGACCGCATTTCATACATGTACACAATGACATCACCTTAAAGGATCTCTTAAAGGACCTCTCATTACATTGTCTACAGCTATGGGCACCCCAACAAATACCCCCAAAACTTTTCAACAATTGCCCACTTGAGAGCAAGGAGCTCGAGTTTCACGCTGCTATACTTATTTTTTTCTGCATCTACTTGCAAAGGCAATAACATGTTTTACATCTCCCTTTTGCTGATATAAAATGGCGCCCAAGCCCTGACTGCTTGCATCTGTCTCCACAATAAAGGGCTTCGTATAGTCAGCCACCCCTAGAACAGGTGCACTAGTCAGCTTATCTTTGAGTGTGTCAAAAGCGGTTTGACATTTTTCAGTCCACACACTCCCCAAAAGGACATTAGTTCTGTTGGAGCTTTCAGTGGTGAGACATGAATTTACAGTGTGACGGGGGCATTGTCTTGCATGAAAATTGCAGATTGATTGGGAAATGATTGCAGGGAAGGAACTGCATGTTGCTGAAGGAGGTTCTGATAAACATTTACAACCACGCTGTCATGTATCTGTATAAGAAACCCAACTCCTGCTGCAGAAAACATCCCCCAAAGTCTGAAACTTCCTCCTCCACCTTTCACTGACTTCTTTATGCACTTGGGTTCAGTCGTTTGATGCTGAACAAAATGTTTCCCATCAGACACAAATAAATTAAACTTGCTCTCATCACTAAAGTGAACTTTGGACCAGTTCTCCTCTCTCCACACAACATGCTCCTCAGCAAAGGTAAGCTTAGCCTTTTGATACTTTCTGCTGATGAGGTCACTGCAGAGTGCGTTTTCAGTCCAACTTAAACGTGCTGAGACAGATCCTTGCCCTGTTCAGCACTGAACTGGCAAGCAATTCCAGCTGCAGTGTTGAACCAATTTCCCATTGAGAGTCTCTGCATTATCCTGCCTTCTCATTCATTTGTCTTATGGGGACGACCAGCCTTTTTGGGGGACTTGAATGAGTTAGTGACATTGTAATGCTGCAATATTCTAGAAATCACAGATTTGGAATGACCAACTTCTGTTGCAATGGCTGAAAGGGTCATCCCTTTAACCTTTATCTGGACAACCTTCTGTCGTAGGGTTTCAGTCAACTTAGAGCGGCCCGCCTTCATGTAATCTCAGTGAAAATGGGAGGAATGCTGCCAGTTAAATTGGGTTTGTCATATAATTAAAGAAATTAGCACCAGGCGCCAGATTACTGCAATAACTTGTAGTAATCTGTAAATGTTCTCTAATTTTGATCAGAGTTCTTTTTCAAATTTCTCATTTAAGTTTCTTTAAACTGCTTCAGAATACAATTTATTTATGAATTATGCTTAAAAAACTGCCCTTCTACTCCTGCTAGGATAAATTCAAAGAGGACTAAACAGTGACCTTGAAATGTAGGAGATTGTAAGTTGTTCTCTAATTTTGATCGCCACTGTATATAAATTTAAATATAAATATGAATATAAATATACATTTTTGCATGCATACAGTGTAAATTGGACCTCAAGAGTTTAGTAGTTCTTTGGGTGGGTGATGTAATATAAGGTAATGATGTAGTTCTTTTATAGGCGAAAAGTGTTTAAGAGGCAACATTGTGTTAATTTATTAATGGTTTTGAAAGACAGGGAAACATATAGCTCCATCCGGTTTTCATGTAACTTTATCTGTATACTGTACATGTAAATTATTTTGGTGTTTTGATTCATTATAGGGATTTGTCAGAATTTGAGAAATTCTCTTTTATGCTTCTGTCAGTTGGAATGGTCTGACACCGCATCATGTTCACTTTCAGCCTTGGAGTCAAGAGGGAGTAAAATAATATTTATGGCCTAATTTTTGAGCCTGGTCATCTTGGTTTCATTATGGCAGGTGCAGTGGTGGATATGGGTTTGATATGAATCCCACTGGAAAGAGATATTTTTGGCAGATCTGGCATGGGATATGATATTATTCTTAGCATCTTTTCCCTCGCCATGGCTAGTTTCCTTGCAAGTGATCACGGCACCGCCACACTAAGTCAGCTGTTTTATTTTAGTCAGACAACCACACAAGACCTTGCGTCTTCCGTTGAGGCCTTGAGGTCTCGTAATCACATGAGAGGTCAAGGCCGTGAGTCGACCGCACCATCACCACCTTCCTCTGGACTCCAGGTCTTACCAGAAGGATCTTTAACATATGTTCTTTATCAATGCCACTGAGTACAGTTACATATATTTAAAAGACATTAGCTAGAGCTCTGAGCTCCCTTTATGACCAGACAGCGGTATGTGGAGACAAAAGTCACTTTTGGCCAAGCTTCTGTGCCTGTTGCTTTGGACGAAATTAAAACCTCCATCATGATTCTGCGTTCTCCTTTTTGTTTGGCAACAGCTCTCCATTTTTTGAATTTTATAGGGGTCTAGTAGCTACATTAGCTAGCAGTTTCAAGGGAGGATTAATACAAAACAGCCCTTTTAAACCATAATAGAAAGACTGCTGCCTATAGAATTACCAGCAAGGACCCAGAAAGGTGATATCAATCCCATAGCTGACACAAATAACTGCGAGGAAAGAGGGATACTGTTTTGCTTTAGACATGAGGGACATAACCGGGAGCTAAATTAGCATTTTGGATGTGAGGAACCTCCAAAAGGTGGTACCAAATGCAATATATTGCTAAATGAATTTTACATAATGCTTATAATGAAAGTTTGTATTGGATTAAACAAAAACTGGCCTGGAGCATACAGAAAATGGATCGGATTGAGAAATAATTTTCCAATAATGATTTGAAGGTGCCAAAATGCTGTTATGGACTGTTCTTGCTGAATTTAACCATTGGACATGACAATACTAAAATGCTGCAAGGGTTTTTATCGAGGTAACACTGTGTGCAGGAAGT